TGCCGTCGTGTCGTACGCAGCGCCTGTACTCCGGGGCACTCACTCCCGGTAGCTCAGAGAGCCGGTTGCGCCGTCGCCTGTGGGTCCGTTGCTCCTGCTGCTCGTCTTAGCCGCGGAGCCTGTTACTCCTGTACTCCGGGGCACTCACTCCCGGTAGCCACTGTGTCGCACCAGAGCCGTCTGTTGCCCGTGTGACTGCAGCTTCAGTCGTCGCCTCCCATCTACTCTCCTCTCGCCAGCCCTCCTCCTCCTCACTTCCCCGTTGTGACTACCACTAGCTTTGCTCATAATTGTGAACTTTAAACTATTGCTTCTTAAACTTGTGCTCAGAATGTGTGGTGACATTGTGATCCACCCTGAGCTTGTACTGCTTTGCTTGCTCTGCTGATTACACCCCACTTTGGCTATGGGGGTGTGTCAGAATATTATGCTCTAGCCTGTAGTGGGGTGCTCTGTAGCGAGTACAACCCTTCTAGGGTTTGCTATTTGTATCCCCATTCTTGCTAGTGCAACCCCTCTCTTTCGCCTAAACTCTCTTGCCTAGCTAGGACTCTCCTAGCTATGGCTCCTAAGACTACCGCTTATCTCAACATGGTATCAGAGCTTAACGTTCCTGGCCTGTGGGCCCACTTCACTGCTTCCGCTGCTACTGCTACTCCCTGTCCGCCGCGCGCCCCGTGGTGCGCGGCGTCGAAACTAGGGTTTTCAGCCCGCCGTGCGCCCCGAGGCGCGCGGCGGTTTTCTGCCCGCCGTGCGCCCCGAGGCGCGCGGCGGTTCTCTGCCCGCCGTGTGCCCCGAGGCGCGCGACGGGTTCCTGCCCCGTCACTCGGCACGTCGCCCCCGGGAGGCGCTGCGACGGGCGACGGGGACCCGCGCGTCGCCCCCCGTCGCCCGTCGTGGCCTGCGCGCGGCCCGTACACCCGGCGCGCGGCCCGTACGGGCTGCGCCAGGCCTGCGCGCGGCCCGTACGGGCTGCGCCAGGCCTGCGCGCGGCCCGTACGGGCTGCGCCAGGCCCGCGCGCGGCCCGTACGGGCTGCGCCAGGCACGCGCGCGGCCCGTACGGGCTGCGCCAGTCCCGCGCGCGGCTCGGACCGCCTGCGCGCGGTTCGGGAGGCTGTGCCAGGCCCGTGGGCGCCCCGTTCTTCGCTGCCCCTGTCCTCCCCGCTGTCCCCCGTGCTTCTGAAGGCGCCCCACCCCTCCTTCTGCCCGTTCTCCTGGATTAGGGTTTGGGGTTGGGGGGTATGGGGGTGCAGCTTCTGTGTGCCGTTCCCTGCTCCTCCTCCTCCTCCGTCTCCCTGTGCTGCAGCTGCCGCTGAGGGGGGTGGACCTGTTGGAGCCGTCAGAGTAGTACTAAGGGGGGGTGAAGGGGGAGTGGAGCTAGCGGTGTAGCAGCGGGTGTGTGTCGAGGGATGTGGGACTGTTGGGGGAGGTTGAGGGGAGGTTGCCGTCGTGTCGTACGCAGCGCCTGTACTCCGGGGCACTCACTCCCGGTAGCTCAGAGAGCCGGTTGCGCCGTCGCCTGTGGGTCCGTTGCTCCTGCTGCTCGTCTTAGCCGCGGAGCCTGTTACTCCTGTACTCCGGGGCACTCACTCCCGGTAGCCACTGTGTCGCACCAGAGCCGTCTGTTGCCCGTGTGACTGCAGCTTCAGTCGTCGCCTCCCATCTACTCTCCTCTCGCCAGCCCTCCTCCTCCTCACTTCCCCGTTGTGACTACCACTAGCTTTGCTCATAATTGTGAACTTTAAACTATTGCTTCTTAAACTTGTGCTCAGAATGTGTGGTGACATTGTGATCCACCCTGAGCTTGTACTGCTTTGCTTGCTCTGCTGATTACACCCCACTTTGGCTATGGGGGTGTGTCAGAATATTATGCTCTAGCCTGTAGTGGGGTGCTCTGTAGCGAGTACAACCCTTCTAGGGTTTGCTATTTGTATCCCCATTCTTGCTAGTGCAACCCCTCTCTTTCGCCTAAACTCTCTTGCCTAGCTAGGACTCTCCTAGCTATGGCTCCTAAGACTACCGCTTATCTCAACACGAGCTCGCAGGTGCGCGCAGACGATTGGCGCGACTTGCATTGCCATGCATCCGTCGGCTGTTGTCTGCGCCTGACGAGCCACATCGACTTCGGGATACCATCCCGAAGTCGCCTTCGCCATCGCGATCTCGACGACGTTCGCGTGCCTCCGCAGAACTCGTTGAGCAAATTACCCAAGCGACCAAGTCGTCGGCATTGCCCAAGCGAGGGCGGGGCCAACACCCCACTCCCATTAACATGTCTAGTGACAGTTTCAGTGCCGTGGCAGTGTTGATGAGGCTGTGGCTGGCTCCCCCGTCTACGAATATTTTAACTAAGTCTGTCCCTATTTTCCCACTAAGCAGTATGGGGCTGTCTACCGCGGTACCCTCCTTATTCGGCCGAGTGTGGTCGATTGCGTGAACCGGCACAATCACTCGGTGAGGGTCGGTTGGGTCGGGCGAGTGGCGCGACCTGTCAGTAGAGGGCCCGTCTGCTACTGACTCCCAGCGTTTCCCTGCTGCTTGGTCTGTTTCTGCTGCTCAGCTTCCCCCTTTCCCTTAGCGTTTTCCGGGCATTCGCTCTTGCGGTGTCCCGGCCGATTGCACGCGAAACAGCGCCCTTTGAACGGTACGGTAGCGGCATTCGCGGCGACAGTACGTATCGTAGCGCCCTCGTTCGTCCCACGAGATCGGACTACCCAGTTATTGCTGCTTCCGTAGGACCCCGGTCTCGGTCGGCAAAAGAAGTCGAGCTTCTCTAACATAGCGAGACTCTCCTGAAGATCGGTGACGCCGCGAAGCTAGATTTCTTGAGCGATGTCGTGCTTCAGGCCGCCAATGTAGCGGTCGATACGCTCGTTCTCGTTATAACCCACTTGCTCGCATAGCGCCAGAAACCCGCTGGTGTTGTCCTGGACGGAACCGAGTTGGCACCAAGTGCGGAGCTTCTGACGTGTCGCGATTGAAGTTGCAATTGGCTCAAATCGGGCGCGCAGTCCTGCGCACCTTACGTCCCACGCACGATATTGGGGCACCTCCACGAAATACCACGGCGACCAGGGTCCGGTTTGTCCTTCCCGTGTCCGTAGAATCGCGAAGTCGTTCGTCTTCGTGACGATGACACGGCACCAGTCCATGGCGGGTCCTCGCAGCAGCGACACGGCGTAGCGAATTTTCACCGTATCCTATGAGACGTAGTTGGCGTCGAAGAAAACGTTCATCGTGAACAACTTCGCCTGAACGATAGGACCACCTTGCTGACTTGGGTCAAAACATGGTGGACGTTGCGGCTTCAGCGGCATCGGTGACGGCAGTGCCGAATCATTGGTCGGTGCCGAAATCGTGACACGCGGCTGGCTTCGGACTGCATTCGTCGCCTCGGGGTGCGTCGTGCCGTGGTCGTCGTCTCCGTCGTGGCGGACGACGCCATCACTAGCCGCGCTCGCGGGTCGCCCCACACTTCCGTGTGTGATGCATGTGGTGCAGGTTGTCCCAGGGTGCCAGGTGCCCATGATCGTGCTTGCTGTGCTTGACGTCGTTTTGGAGGGAATGTTGTTCTCCCGTCAGCTCCGTAATTTCTTCGGAACTTTCGTGCAGCTGTTGCAGTAGTTGGTTCAGACTGTCCTACGAGAGGGTGGTGACGTTGATATGTTCAGCCATGACGAAGGGCGTCGGCTCGACTTAGTCTAGGTGCTGTCGTGGCTGCGCGTGTTTATGCGAGAACGCGAGGACAGCGGCTCCTAGGGGCTAAGGTGCGTGAGTCCCTTCGAGGTAAAAAACAAAAGTTGATTTCTTGGGGTGCGGAGATGCGCGGTCCAAAAAGGAAAGAAGCTTTGAATACCAAGTGTTACGGGTGCAATGGATCGAGGTAGCGAGGATTGCACTAATTGTCAAACGTGTACAAAATGTGAGCGAAGGTATGAGCGATCATTTATATGCGAAACATGCAAACGGTAACGCGGTGATGCGCGCTAGCTAGTGCTATGCTTGCAGCGAGGCTCGGGCTAGTCCCGAAGCGTAGGCCGACACGGCCGGGCCAGCAGTGCGTGGTTTGGTGAAGCAGTGCGCACAAATTTCGCGAAGTCCTGTTAGCAGTAACGGGCGAACAACGGCTGCTGCTGTACGCGATGTTGCAGGCTCAGAGTAAGGAATGTCGAGAAAATTCCTTACAGTTGCATACTTATGCTTTTATAATATTGTATTTATATTGCGTTTCGTCTTGGCTCCTAATGGGTACCGAATCAGTCAGTGCACAAAATGGCCGCGGTGCCGTCAGCCGGCTGGAACAGTGAGCCGAGCAACTCCCCTTCCCGAGCAGCGCCCCTCCCCTCCCCTCACCAACTCGGCCCCACCAACGCCTCCACCACCCCACAACCGAACCGAGTGTTGAAAGAATTGTGACCATCCAACAACACGGCGACCATTTCCCGAAGCGCGTCGCACTGCGACCATCTCCGCATACGATTGGTGGACGGACTGGAAGTGGCGCATTTGCATTCGCAAGGGCGTCGCAAAACCCATGTTCCACCTCATGGCCCGAACCGAATCCCCAGACTGGCGCACCAAACCGAACCCAACCAATTTTCTTCCAAGGGGTTCGATCGGGCACTGAGGGAATGGGAACAAAAGCGGGCGCAAACAGTATTGTGATCATTTACAGCACACCGATCCAACAGTGCTAGTAGCAGCAACTATTGTGCTCTCGAAGTTGGTGCTGAGCACATTACCCGTAGGAGCACTATTAGTTCCTCGGGCCATGGCAAATCCTCGAACCGTGCCGGCTGCGCCGCTCGCGGCAGCGGCCTGGCTGACGCTTTTCGCGTCATCCCTGGTGTTCTCGCACGCGGCGCGGGACCTCTCGAACCGCCATCATCTTCCCGCCACTAGGAACTTCGAAGACGTGACTGCCTCGAGTTTCTCCTCGGTTCCATCCTCTTATTCTCGCGAAGACGCCGGATATGACGGCGCGCGCGGGAATGACGCAATGCCGATTTCGCACAGCTCTCTCTCCACCGGCGCCGCTTCCGCGGAAATTGGAGAGCCGGCGCAATTCTCGACGCGGCCCGGGATAAGCGGTTATGACGGACCGCGGCTGGCGGGAGAATCGGCGACCCCAGAGTGGCTGGACCGGGACGCGCTGCATGAGTTGGAGGAGCGACTCGAGGATCTGATTGGCGGCGAGCCTCTCGGAATCGACGGCCATGATGATGTCAATGATGGCGCGTTGGAAGCTGACGGTTGGGAATCGCCGGGACCTACTAATTATGGCGACAAGGATGAAACTGAATGTGGCGGGTTGGCTGGAGCGACGGACGAGAACGCGATCGCCGCGAATCGGGAGCGGGAAGTCGGCGTGAGGTCGAAGATCGGCGGCGTTACCCGGAGCAGCAGCAGCAGCGGCAGCGCCGGCGACCGCGGCTCCATCCGCAGAAACGATTGCGGCAGCAGCGAAGAGTTTGGTGGTGCGGAGGGTGACGCGACGCCGGTGCGGAGGAGATCGCTGGGGGGAAATCCGATCGTACCAAATCTGACCGTGGCTCAGGACGGATCGGGAGACGTCACTAACCTCCAAGTATGTCCCTATGTCGTTCGCAGGCGGGTGGCTATTACTGTCTAACGCCTACCACACGGTATAAGTTGGCCCAGCCTGCTACCGACTGGGTTAAAAGGGCCTACTTGTATGGTGGGTAAGACAGCCGTAACCCCCCAGCCCTTCCACACTCAACTGGGGAACAATCCCAGTGCCCCACCAACAGTGAATTCATCTGTCCTAGACCCATGCTGATACGAAAGTCGCATGCTGTTTTTGTTTCTATTCTCCAACAGCACCATGCTGACATGGCGCTAGTACCATGCTGACATGGCGTACCATGGCTATGCCCTCTTCCCAACAGACCGAGTTCCAACACTTGCACAATCTAGAGCAACATCTCCATCCATTCACGTACCCCCGTACCCTCTCCTCTCTTGCCTCTCACGCTCCCACCACTCCCCACCAGGACGCGGTGAGGATGATCAACAGCGACATGAGCGGGTCGTGGTACATAGTGCAGCTGAAGCCGGGGCGGTACGTGGGCAACGTGGAGGTGGAGCGTGCAAACGTGGTGCTGCTAGGCAGCGGTGCACGGCGCACGGTCATCACAGGGAACCGCAGCAATGGCGCTGGCTTCGAAACGTGGGATACGCCTTCCTTTGGTCAGTTGCTGTGCATGCTGCACCACGCTTTCACCACTTTCTTCTCCTTGCTCTCAAATCCTCTTCCCTCCCTTCTCAGCTCCCAGCTAAACTCCCTCTTCACAACCGTCTCAGTTGTCGTCTTGCTTTTTAATCTATCATCTTCTTACCCTGCGCATAATTGTGCTTGTTTGTTCCAGTTCGTTTCTCGCCCGTCCTCCTCTCCCCTCCTGCATAACCCCGTCTTCTTACCCTGCGCATAACTGTGCTTCTTTATTCTGGTTCGGTCTCACCCGTGCTTCTCTCTCCACTCCTGCCGACCACCAGCGGTGGCGGGAAACAACTTTGTGGCAGTGGGTATTCGCTTTGAGAACACCGCACCGGCGAGCATGGAGGCAGCAGTGGCGTTCCGATCAGCTGGGGACAAAACCATTGCATACCGCTGTGTCTTTTCTGGCTTCCAGGTGCACTCTCATCTCCTCTCCTTAATTTCTACCCTCTTCTTTCTTCTCTCCTGCATGATCTCTCCTGCCTGTTCTCTCGGTCCCCTTCTCGCTGCTCGTTGCTCCCCGTCAAGACCCCACATCGTTTCCCATGTGCTCTGCTCCACCTGTCCGTTTCCAGCTGTGCATTTGATTGGCCTGCACTGCTGTAGCTCTTTTGCCACTTTCAGGCATATCATAACTAATGCATGTCCTTTCCTTCCCTCCCCCTTTCTACGAACCTTCACTTTGACCCCTCACTCCTTGTATTTTCTGCTTTACTCAACCATTGCAAAACCCGTTTCTCCCACCTATCCCGCTTCTTCCTCCTCTCCCATTCATGCTCCATCACCCTCTCCCTCTCCCCCCCTTATCCCCCTCTACCTTCTCTCTCGTTCACTCTCCCTCACCCCCGCTTTCGCCGTCTCGCCTGCGCCCCCTTCCCCTCCCCCTCTCCCTCACTGTCAGGACACCCTGAACGCGCACCGCGGGCGGCAGTACTACCGCAACTGTGCCATCTATGGCCACGTGGATTTCATCTACGGTCGCCACGGCGCGGCCGTCTTTGACCGCTGCCGCATCATCCCCGTAGCGCGCCCGGGGGAGAACGGCCCCGCCACCATCGCCACACACGGCGGAGAGACACGGTCGAAGCGTGAAGGCGGGTTCGTTTTTTACCGCTGCTGGATTGCTGCGAACGCCCCGGGGGTGGCGGTGTATCTGGGGAGGCCGTGGAGAGCGCGCGCCCGTGTCGTGTATATGTTTAGCTACCTGTCAAGTGCTGTCCTTCCCGAGGGATGGGTTCCCTGGCCTGGGGAGAACTTTGGGCCGAAGGCTTTCCTGGGAGAGTATCAGAACAGGGGGCCAGGTGCGGGGATGAGTGGGCGTGCGAGGTGGGTTCGGCCCGGGTTGCTGAGTGAAGCACAGGCGGGTCCGTTCATGCCTGAAGCGTTTATTCGGGGTAGCCGGTGGGTGCGCAGTACACCTGTGGAGATCGTGTACCCTTGACGGCCTGGGAGTTGATGGCAGCGTGGTTCATGGAAGGCAGCTGACATGCAGTGCAGATGGGAAGCGGAGGTGGAAAGCGGAAGTGGAAGGCGGACATGCAGGGTGGAGAATGACTCGGAAGGTGGATAGGAAGGATGGAGACCATAATGAGGAGTTGGAATTGTGAGGTCGAGCACCTGAGTGTGGCTGATTCTTTGGCGTTTTGGCTGACACGGTTTGGTGGTGAGGGTCCACTGCTGTTGAGCTCACCTCGAGCTCTGTACCAGCTGGATCATTGTGCATGGACTTTCATTTTGTTTAAGCTCTGTGATCCACTGGATAGAAGTCTCAGAAAGTAGCTACAGCGGAATGAGTAGCATTGATTGGGTTGGGGTACATATGCCTAACCCTAACTGTTTGTACCCCATATAGCATGACCCACAATAGGCTATAACATTTGACACACCCCCATAGCCTAAGTGGGGAATGCCAAGCAACAAGAAACGCAACCTAAGGTCACAAGACCAGTCACAAACAAAAGACAAAACAAGCTTAGGGTGGATCACAATGTCACCACACAGTCTGAGCGCAAACAGCGGCCACAAGGCCAGTTCAAGAGTGTATATGCAAATATATGCAGTACAAGCAAAGACAAGAGACAAGCACTCACTACTGCAGTCTACTCGACTCAGTCTCAACGAGGCCCAATTGCATGCAGACAGAACCGGCGGTGGTCACAAGGCTGAAGAGCCTTGGTGAAGATGTCTGCAGTGTTGGTCTCTGCAACTCTCGAAGGAGGAAGTACCTGACGTCGATGTGCTTCACTCTGCTCTCCAGTCGAGGCTCACGACACAGGAGAATCATCTGTCGAGAAAGTTAGGCAAGGTTGGTTGCATTGACGAGAGAGATTGGTACAAGAAACACAACCCTAAAGTGTTATCCCCTATAACATCTACCCCACTACAGCCTACCAATATATATCACACATATATATCATTTGACACACCCCCATAGGCAAAGTGGGGGAGAGCAAAGGGTCACAAGACCAGTCAAGAGAAGCAAAGCAAGCTCAAGGTGGATCACAACGTCACCACACATTCAGAGCACAAGCAAATGGCCACAAGGCCAGTTCACATGCAGAGATATATATGCAGCAATAACAGTACAGTGATGGCTACCTAGCAAGAGCCAGCATGCAGGTATATATATAGATCACAGTACAAGCAGAGACTACAGCAAGTGCGAAAACATAGGCACAAGGCCCAACAGAGTACAAAAGCGCTGATGATCACCAGACGGAAGTGCCTTGGTGAATATATCAGCAGTGTTGGCCCGAGTGGCCACGTGGCGAAGACGAAGCTGGCCTCGCTGCTGCAACTCTCGAGCTAGGAAGTAACGCAGAGCAATGTGCTTCGTTCTGTGCTCCAGTCTGTGCTCCTCACACAAGGCAATGGCCGCCTTGTTGTCAACGTACAGCACTGGAGGAGAACGAGGCCGCTCACCCAAGTCAGTCAGCAGGTAGGTGAGCCAGCGTAGCTCCTGTGCAGCCATGGCGGTGGCGTAGATCTCAGCCTCACAACTGGAGCTGAGAACAGAAGACGAGCGTGTAGACCACCAAGAAACAGAGCCAGAGCCAAGGTTGAAGGTGTAACCCTGTGACGACCGCTGCATAGCCTGGTCGTCAACCCAAGACGCGTCTGAGTGCCCAGTGAGGACCACCTCACTCCGTCCTCCAAGCACGAGCCCCATGCCCGATGTACTGCACAAGTAGCGCAGTACCCTCTTAGCAGCAGCCATGTGCTCTGGTCGGTGCCTACCAGGAGCCACGTAGCGAGCGAGAAGGCCAAGAGGGTACGCAAGGTCAGGACGAGTGCAGGTCATCAGGTACATGAGGCAGCCCACTAGCTCTGGGTAAGGACCACTCGGCTCTACGGACTCGTCCGAAGGTGGAGCTGAGAGCGAGTGACCTGTAGCCAGAGGAGTGTGCTGTGGCGAGGACCAGGTGAAGCCGAAGCGCTGAAGAACCTGCTGCACCATGTGTGACTGAGTCAGTGTGATGGTGCGGCGTGCTCTGTCCTGGGTGATCTGCAAGCCAAGGTAACTACGCAGCTCACCCAGGTCTGTGCACGTGTGTCTCTTCTGCAGCTCCGACTTCACCAAGGCGAGAGCCTCAGTGTCAGCAGTGGCAAAGACCAGGTCGTCGACGTACACGAGGATGTAGAACGGTGGCAGTGAAGTGTCGGTGCGCAGGAACAGCGACGGGTCAGCTGTCGAAGGAGCGAACCCAAGAGCCGCCAGTGTCGTCCTCAGTGTGTCGTGCCACTCACGTGGCGCCTAGCGGAGACCGTAGACTGGCCACCGGAGGCTCCACTTGGTACCAGGAGGGAACGACCCAGTGAAGCCAGGAGGGCGGCGCAGCCAGATCTCCTCGTGCAGGCTGCCCTGTAAGAAAGCTGTGCTGAAGTCAAGAGAGTGAAGCTCGTAGTCACGCTGAGCGGCAACGTGCAGCAGCACCCGAAGAGTAGTCATCTTCGGGGTGGGGGAGAAGGTCTGGAAGAAGTCAACTCCCTCTCGCTGACTGAAGCCTCTAGCAACGTAACGAGCCTTGAAGACAGGCGGAGAACCCGACGGCCGCTTCACCTTGAAAATCCACATGCCATCGACGATGTTCGCCCTAGGAGGGGGAACCTCATCGACGTAAGTGCCTGTGGACTTCCAGGATGCCATCTCTGCGTCCATGGCTGTCTGCCACTGAGAGGAGTACTCACCCGCGATCGCCTCAGCGTAAGAGCGCGGGGTCGGGATGTCTGGTGCATCCGGGTCTCCCTCAAGGGCAAGCAGCATGGCCACGAGATGAGGCGCAGCAGCCGCAAGACACTCAAGGTCCTCGTGCCTGTCCTCAAGGACGTCCGTGCTAAGAGCACACTCACCCCCGACGGACGGAGGACAGACAGACTCAGACTCAGCAACAAGACTGGCAGCGAAGTCTAGACGACAGGCAGCAGCAAAGTCAACAAGCTCAGCGACAAGAGCAGACGCAGCAGTAGACTCAAATGACGGGTCAGTGACAACAGTGGCTAGCAGACGCGTGACAGTAGGGTGCTTAGCACGAAACCGGTCAGACTCAGGGTCCGGAACGTCAGGTAGAGAGGACGCAGGAGGAGACGGCAGAGGAACAGGCTGCAGAGCAGAGGAAGGACGACGGACTACGAGGTGTGCGCTGGGGACAGCCGGCTGACGCGAACGAGGAACACGACGACCGGTACGACCAGGACGAGCAGGCGAGACAGGACGTGACGCAGGCTCACGACGCTCAGCAGGACTACCAGTCTGCTTAGTGTAAGGAGAAGGAGCAGGCAGCGGTGAGCCAGGCTGTAACGGAAGACCAGTAGACGACGGGAGAGTAAGAACCTGACGAAGAGCAGAGTCAGACGGCGGCAGAGACGATGGAGACGGCGGAGCGAAGAACAGTCGTGTCGGCGCAGCTGCGCCAGTACCGGCAGCTCCAGCAGCTCCAGTACCTCCAGCAGCTCCAGCACCTCCAGCAGCTCCAGTCCCAGAACCGACACCTCCAGTCCCAGGGTCTCCAACCTCAGTGTCTCCAGCAGCAGCACCCCTAGAACCAGCACCTCCAGTCCCAGGGTCTCCAACCTCAGTGTCTCCAGCAGCAGCACCTCCAGACGCAGCACCCCCAGCCCCAGCAGCTCTAGTACCTCCAGTACGAGCACCTCCGGAACCAGCGACTCCAGCAGTAGAGCCCCGGGCTCCAGCAGCGCGACCCTGACGGCGACCGTACCGGTCCTGCAGCTGCTGTGAGGTGAGAGGCACACGTGGACGAAGGCGGCTACTCCAAGGAGACCGCGCAACAGCAGACTCAGAACCCTCAGCGCCAGCACCCCCAACTGCTCCAGAACCTCCAGCGCCAGCACCTCCAGGCTCCTCACGCGTAGGCTCAGTACCCTCAGACTCGGCACCCCCAAGCTCAGCACCTCCAGGCTCCTCACGCGCAGGCACAGCACCCCCAGACTCCGCACCCCTAGGCTCAGCACCTCCAGGCTCCTCTCGCGCAGGCTCCGCACCCTCAGACTCGACACCCCCAAGCTCAGCACCTCCAGGCTCCTCACGCGCAGGCACAGCACCCCCAGACTCCGCACCCCCAGGCTCAGTACCTCCAGGAACAGCACCCCGAGCAGGACCACCCCCAGCAGGACCTGAGTCACCAGTGACCTCAACAGGCGCAGGTACCGGAGGGTCTACCTGAGAAACACCTGAGGGAGCAGGACCTGGTGCGGGGAGGGGGTCTACCTGGGGAGGACCTGGAGCGAGAAAGAGCGTCGGGGGGGGGCGAGGGGCAGTGCGGTAGGGAAAGAGACGGTAAAAGGGGACCGACTCGTCGAAGGTGACGTCCTGAGACGCAAAGACACGGCGCGAGGTGGGGTCGTAAAACTGCCAGCCAGGCGCGTCAGGAGGAAAACCAAGGAAGACGCAAGGAATGGCGCGAGCAGAGAGCTTGTCCGCGGTGAGATCGCGGACAAAGGCACGAGCACCCCAGACCCGGAAACGCGACGCATCGCCAACCTCCCCCGTCCACAGCACCGTGGGCGAGGTCTTCGGAAAGGAGACACGGGGCCAGAGGTTGAGCTGATGCGCGGCGTACCGGACCGCAAACGGCCACAAAAAATGGGGAGCCGCTGCATGGATCATGGAGGTACGAGCGACCTCCATGACTAAGCCAATGCGGCGCTCAGAAACCCCATTCTGCTGCGGAGAGGCCGGAAGCGTGAACGACTGGGTGATGCCGTGCTCCGCACAGAAGGCTGCCAAGAGGTCAGAGGAGAACTCACCACCTCTGTCAAAGTGCAGACGCAGGACAGGAAAGTCCCGCTCGAACCGCTCGCGGAGCTGGAGACGCACAGCGCGGATCCAGGGGATCAAAACAGCAGGGACGTCCCCTCCGTGGTGTAACGCGTGTAGTCGTCGACAACCAGCAGAAAGTACCGCTCACGGCCCTGTCCCTGGACGCGGGCTGGGCCCCACACGTCCAGGTGAAGCGTCTGCAGGGGAGCCTCTGTGGGAGGAAACGAGGAGGAGTGAGGAGCGGCGCGCTGCCGCCCCTCGACGCAGGGAATGCAGGGCGGCGCAGGCGAGGGAGGGAGGGCAGGCAGAGACCTGGGAAGACCAGAGACCAGGGAGCGAGAGTGCATGCTACGAAGGCGAGGCAGGGAGGGGTGACCAAGGCGGTGGTGCCACAGGAGCGTGTCGTGCGACAGGCGGCGGCACTCACACTGGGTAGCTACCTGAGCAGACGCGTACAGCTGAGGAGACAAAGGAGTGGAGCGTGAAATAGTGGTGAGGGTGTACAGACTGGACCCCGGCTCACGAGTGAACGTGGCCAGGTGGCGGCCAGTCTTGGAGCACGTGCAGATCGCCACACGCTGCCCTCCAGGAGTCCAGGTGTCAACCCAGTGATCCTGGAGGACGGCGTTGCTCACCAGGTTCGTAGAGAACGAGGGAACGAGGAGACCTGACAGCTCACCAGACGGGACCGCCGGGCACGGGAGCACAGTCGTGGCTCGTGCAAGCACTGGGCCCCCAGAGGGGTCAGCCAGTGAGACAGGGACAGGTGCAGGGAGGGGAGTGACGGTGGTGCTATCACGAAAGAAACAGCGGGAAGCACCAGAGTCAAGTGTAAACGTGTGCAAGGCCTGAGCCGACTCAGTACCAAGGGGAGCAGACTCACTAGCACCTAGGGCTGCAGCCCTTATACCGGGGTCAATACCAGGGTCAGGCGGCACACACAAGTAACAGTCACCCTCAGCACTAACAGTCAATGCATACATGGCAGCAAGAATAACATCATAGTCCAGATCAAAGATAGGCACATCACGCCTAAGCAGCTCTGCCCAGTTGGGGAACTCAGTAGCATCAGGATACTTGGCACGCCAGGCGTCACTAAGCCGGTACTCAGTGTGAAAACCGTTGCAGGGGCGACCCTTGCGGGGGCCAGTACGAATGACATAGGGGCAGCGGTCAGAACCACGAGACGCCCCACGCCCAGCATACCAGTCATTGAGCTGCTGGGAGGTGAGGGGAGGACTCTGCTGCTGCTGCTGCTGCTGCTGCTGGCCACCAGTGGGGCCACCCTTCTGGCCAGATCCACCCCCACTCCCACCTCCACCGCCACTGCCGCTGCCTCCTCCCCCACCACCGCCACTGCCGCCTCCACCGCCCCCGGTCCTGCCGCCACCCCACCCACCGCCTCCACCCCCACGGCCACCCCCACCACCTCCACCACCCCCGCCGCCTCCACCACCGCTCCCTCCACCGCCACCTCCGCCACCCCTGCCACCCTTGCCGCCCCTGCCGCCGCCACGCTTCCCACCAGGAGCGGAAGCCGCTGCGACCTTCTCCGCACCGAGGAAGTCGACAGCAGTAGCAGCAGAGGCGTAGGAGGGGTCAAGAGGGGAGGGGGAGCACCCCTCAAAGAGGGGAGTGCGGGGAGTGCCACGAGCAGCACCGACAGCGAGGATGTTCTTCTCTGCTGCGACCAGCTGCTGCTCGAAGTCGTCCAGAGTGATAGTTGGAGGATCCTTGGCAAGGAAGTGATCCCTGACAGAGCGAAGAGTGTCAGGGAGGCGGGTGACGAGGATGTAGAGGGTAAAGTACAGCGGGGGGGTGTTCGTGGCGAGGAACTCGTCGGTAAGAGCGGCTCGAAAGCGGGCGTCACTAGCGCGGAGGTGAGTGATAAGGTCGGCAGCAGTGTGAAACGAGGCTAAGTCTGGGAACAGGTAAGGCAGGATGAGACTACCAACGGTGGCTGTGGCCGGGGCGGAATAGCGGGCAACGACAGCATCATACAGCGTCTTAGCAGTCTTAAGCTGGTTGAAATGCGCGCGCTCAGAGATCGGTAGGTGATTGCGAATAACAAGGCGCGCGACTGCATCGCGGAGCTCCCACTGTGCTCGTTCAGGGGCAGGAGCAGTCTCAGCGGGAGTAGGGACAGTGCCGGTCACATAGGCTAGCAGTGATACTCCGTCTGCGACGTCAGTCATAAGGTAAAGGCGCAGGTCACTAAGCCAGGTGTCAAACTCGATGGGGCAACCGTCAGGCTCAAAGGCGAGAACAGTAAGGGTCGCCATGGTTGCAGCGCAGGCAAAAGTAGCAGGCTCAGGCAGCAGGCTCAGGCAGCAGGCTCAGGCAGCAGGCTCAGGCAGCAGGCTCAGGCAGCAGGCTCAGGCAGCAGGCAAAGGCTGCAGGCTCAGGCAACAGGCAACTGTAGCAGGCAGGCAGTTGATACAGGCGCAGTGCGAGCAGGTAAGGAAACACGCAGATCAGTGATAGGCCGCGCGCGTGTAGGCTGGCGGGGCGCGACGTGAGCTGCGCGGGCGGTGCGCGGGCTGCGTGCGGACTGCGCGCGGGCTGCGCGCGGGCTGCGCGGGCTACGCGCGGGCTGCGCAGGCTCAGAGCAGGCCGCACGGGCTCGGCGCGGGCTGCGCGCGGGCTGCGCGGGCTCAGTGCGGGCCGTGCGGGCTCGGCGCGGGCTGCACGGACGGTGCGCAGGGCAGCTGCGGGCCGCGCGGGCTCAGGGCGGGCTGCTCGAGCGACCTACGGGGCGCGACGCGGCTGGCAGCAGCAGTGCGCGCTAAAAAAAAAAAGGCGTGCGCGCGCAGCCGAGGCGCGCGCGGGCAGCAGGCTAGGCAGACAAGTAGGCAAGGCAGGTAGGCAGGCCGTTGGTGAGGTAACTTAGTAACTGGTAAGCCCTTAAGCTTAGGTCTAGGAACCTGCTCTAGATGCCATGTCGAGAGAGTTAGACAAGGTTGGTTGCATTGACGAGAGAGATTGGTACAAGAAACACAACCCTAAAGTGTTATCCCCTATAACATCTACCCCACTACAGCCTACCAATATATATCACACATATATATCATTTGACATCATCGCCCTGTTGTCAGCAAACAGGGTCGGTGCAGAGCTCGGCCGCTCACCAAGGTCAGTGAGCAAAAAGGTCAACCAGCGTAGCTCCTGAGCAGCAAGGGCCCCAGCGTAGATCTCGGCCTCTGCGGTAGAAGTCGCAACAGAGGAGGACCGAGTAGACCTCCACGAAACAGCTCCAGAACCCAGGCTGAAACAGTAACCCTGCGTAGACCTCTGAGTCTCAACGTCGTCGGCGTAGGAGGAGTCGCAGTGACCGGTGAGTACAACTGGCTGTGTCCCTCCAAGTACAAGCCCCATGCCTGATGTCGCGCCAAGGTACTTCGCCACCCTCTTAGCCGCCGCCCAGTGAACAGGACGGTGTCTCCCAGTCGCAACAAAGAGAGACAAGATGCTAAGAGGGAAGGCGAGGTCCGGGCGAGTGCACGTCATCAGGTACATGAGGCAGCCCACCAGCTCTGCGTAGGGACCACTGGGCTCGAACTGCTTGTCAGGAAAAGGCCCAGTGAGTCTGTGGTCTACAGCAAGAGGAGTGGGGGCAGGAGAAGAGTCCTGAAGCCCGAACCGCTAAAGGACCTGCTGCACCATGTGTGACTGAGTCAGAGTGATGGTGCGAGCGGCTCTGTCCCTGGAGATCTGCAGGCCAAGGTAGCGGCGCAGTTCCCCAAGGTCAGTGCAGGTGTGTCTCTTCTGCAGTTCGGACTTCACCTCCGCCAGTGCGACTGTGTCGGCTGTGGCAAAAACCAGGTCGTCAACGTAGACAAGAACAAAGAAAGGTGTGCGCCCACGACGAACAAACAGCGACGGGTCGGCGGAAGACGGCTCAAACCCGAGGTCGGAGAGAGTAGAGCGGAGAGTGTCGTGCCACTCACGGGGTGCCTGGCGGAGACCGTAGACCGGTCGTCTGAGGCTCCACTGGGTCCCAGGCGGGAAAGTGCCAGTGAAGCCCGGAGGACGACGCAGCCAGATCTCCTCGTGTAGGCGGCCCTGGAGGAAGGCAGTGGAGAAGTCAAGAGAGTGAAGCTCGTAGTCTCTCTGCGTTGCTACGTGCAGTAACACCCGAAGAGTGGTCATCTTCGGGGTGGGCGCAAAGGTCTGAAAGAAGTCAACTCCCTCACGCTGACTGAACCCTCTAGCCACGTAGCGTGCCTTGAAGACTGGGGGAGATCCCGGCGGCCGCTTCACCTTGAAGATCCACATGCCGTCAACGATGTTCGCCCCTTGGGGGGGAACCTCGTCAACGTAAGTGCCTGTGGACCTGTAGGAGGCCATCTCTGCGTCCATGGCAGCTCTCCACTGAGAGGCCCAAGGCCCTGACACTGCCTCAGCGTAAGTGCGAGGAGTAGGTATGTCAGGAGCGTCGGGGTCTCCCTCAGGAGTGAGCAGCATGGCACAGAGATGAGGTGAAGCAGCTGCCAGGAACTCTAGCTCAAACTGTCTGTCCTCTAGGACGTCACAGCCAAGGGCAGACTCACCCCCGGCGGACAGAGGACGGACAGGAGGAGCGGCCACAACACGAGTGGCGTAGTCAAGGCGACGCGTAGCAGTAAAGTCAGTGACAGCGGCAGTGAGGACCGCGACGGAGGAAGGAGAGGCACGAGGGTCTGTAACAAGAGAGGCGAGAACTTGAGAGAGAGTGGGGCGGTACGCGCGGTAGTAGTCAGTGACCGGAGTGGACAGGGAGGCAGTGAGGGACGACTCAGGAGGACGAGGAAGGACAGACGGAGGAGAACGAGGAGGACTAGGACGAAACAACACGGTACGGAGGTCAATGATAGGGGACGAGGGACGAGCACGAGGAGGACGAGAGGCCCAAGTGTGGGCGAGAGGAGGGGGGGACGGAGGAGACCGAGAACGAGGGAAGACAGCCGGAGTGGAGTCCGGAGGAGGAAACATAGGACTGAACACAGGAGGAGAGGAGGGGAGACCAAGGGCCCGAAGGCCAGAAACAGGTGCCGGAGGCTGCTCCGGCTGCTGCTGCTGCGGCGGCGGCGGCGGCGGCGGCGGCGGCGGCTGCTGCTGCTGCTGCTGCTGCTGCTGCTGCTGCTGCTGCTGCTGCTGCTGCTGCTGCTGCTGCTGCTGCTGCTGCTGCTGCTGCTGCTGCTGCTGCTGCTGCTGCTGCTGCTGCTGCTGCTGCTGCTGCTGCTCTCGCTGCAACTCCAACCTCTCACGCTCCACCCGCTGCTGAACCTCCAACCTCTCACGCTCCAAACGCTGCTGCTCCTCACGCTCAAGACGAAGACGGGCCTGGTGTCGAGTCGGGTAAGGGTGAGGAGGAGGAGTGGTGTCAGGAGACGACGAAGAAGAACCTGCTCCGCCCTCGACAGAACCCGGCTGAGCACCCCCAGAGCGAGTACCCCTCGCGGCAGCACGACCAGCACCTGTAGGAGGTGTACCCGCACCCCCAGCCGTGGTGCCCCTAGTGGCGCTAGCACCAGCCCCAGACTCTCCAGCTCCAGAAACACCACCAGCTCCAGCACCACCACCAGCTCCAGTACCCTCGGAACGGGCAGCTGCGGCAGGTGCACGCTCAGTGCCAACGCCAACACCCCCTGAACTGGCTGCTCCTGTAGGTGCACGAACAGCTCCAACGCCAGCACCCCCAGAGCGAGCACCGCCAGAGCCCTCTCCTCGAGCACCAACACCCTCAGAGTCCGCAGTGGCCGGTGAAGGAAGCGGCGACGGCTGCTGCGGAGGCGGTGAGGACGACTGTGGGGAAGGAGGAGAGACCTGGGGGGGTACCGAGGGAGGGGGAGTAGCGTGGGACACACCAGACGTAGCAGGAATAGGGGGGGTACAGGAGGAGTAGGGTCGGGAGGAGGAGGAGCTGGAGCCAGGAAGAGGGGAGGGGGGGGAACCGGGAGACCTCGAGAGGGGTACCTGACGTAGTAGGGGACGGACTCGTCGAAACGGACGTCACGAGAGTCAAAGAACCGGTGGGAGGGTGGGTGGTAAAAGGTGAAGTCAGAGGAGCCCTCTGGGAAACCAAGGAAGACACAGGGGACGGCGCGAGGCGAGATCTTGTCCGCAGAGGTGTCGCGGACAAGAGCCAAGCAGCCCCAGACACTAAACCTCGACGCAACACCAGGGGACCCTGTCCAAAGACTGGTCGGTGAAGCCCCTGGCCGAGAGACGCGAGGCCAGAGGTTCAGCTGGTGAGCGGCGTACCGAGCCGCGTAGGGCCACAGAAAATGGGGCGCGCGGGCGTGGATCATGGAGGTGCGGGCGATCTCCATGACCAGGCCTAAGCGGCGCTCAGCAACCCCATTCTGCTGTGGAGAGTCTGGAAGAGTCCAGGACTGGGTGATGCCCTGCTCAGCACAGAATCTGGCGAGAATGCCGGAGCGAAACTCACCCCCACAGTCGGAGTGGAGACAACAAACACGACGACCACGAGTGCCCTCGGTGGCGAGGAGCCACCGGATCAGCGTAGAAGTCACGTCGGACTTCTTCGCCAAGGGGAACACGGTGGTGTACCGAGAGTAATCGTCAACGACCACCAGAAAGAAACTCTCCCGCTCAGGGCCAAGGCGGGAGGCGGGGCCCCAGACGTCTAAGTGGAGTGTCTGGAAGGGCTCGGTGGCCGGACGAAGGGAGGAGGAGTGAGGGGTGGCGCGAAGCCGACCCTGGACACAAGGATTTGGGGACGGCGGGAGTGGTGGGAGGACTCGGGGGAGGCCTAAGACAAGACGCTGACTGGACATGGCGCGCAGACGAGGAAGGGACGGGTGCCCCATCCGGTGGTGCCACAGAACGGTGGGGTGAGCAAGCGACCGACACGAGCACGACGCAGCAACTACACCTGACACAGCAACCTGACTGGACCCGGCTACCTGGTGGGACGGGGGAACCTGACGGGGGTCGGTGCGGAGGGTGTACAGACCAGAGCCCGGCTCCTGGCGGAAAGTGGCCAAGGGGGCGTACGTGTCACCGTCGACGCAGACCGCGGTGTCACCAGAAGGCTCAACCCAGACCCCGACGTGCTGTCTCGCCAGGGTGGCCACACCAACCAGGTTCCTAGAGAACGTAGGAACGTGGAGGCCGGTCAGGGAACCAGAAGGAGCAGCTGGGCACGGGAGTGTAGTGGCGTGAGTCGCAATGACCGGTCCCGAGGAGGGATCGGCCAGTGCTACAGAGACAGACGCCGGTAGCGGAGAGAGAGTCGTGCAGTCGCGGAAGAAGCAGTGCGACGCTCCTGAGTCCAGTGTGAAGGAGAGAGACGCGTCCGCCGAGGGAGCACCTGTACTAGTAGCTAAACAAGATCCTACACTAGCACCTACTCTAGCAACAGGCAAGTACACAGATCCAGGAGCACTATAGTCAACATCAGCATACATGGCATATGACCTAGCATCATCCATAGTCATATCAAAAACAGCAATACCACGAGCAAGAAGTGTCCCCCAACGCGGCGGCGGGGGAGCGGAGGGGCCGTGGTGCAAGAGGTAGAGGTCGTCGAGACGACTGAAGCAGCGTGCAGCAGAGTGGTCGGGGCGGCCACAGTACGAGTCCCTACGAGGACCCGTAAGGATCCAGTACTCACAGGGACCAACGTCGCGGCCGGCCGCGCGAGGTCCCCGACTGGAGGGGGCGCCACTGCGCCCAGCCGGGGGACCCGCAGACCTCCACTGCTGCTGAGGGCCCCACTGCTGCGGAGGGCCCCACTGCTGAGGCTGCTGCTGCGGTAGGCGCTGCTGCTGGCCCTGTCGCTGCTGCTGCTGCTGTCCCTGCCGCTGCTGCTGTCCAGGCGGTGGCAGCTGCTGAGAAGTCGGCTGCTGCTGCTGCTGCTGGAACCCCTCACCACCAGTGAAAACTTCACCGTTGAGAGGAGGGCCGTCAGGGCCCGAGCCACCCCCACCACCACTACCACCACCTGGCCCACCGCTGCCGCTACCCGCACCACCCCCAGTACCCCCGCCGCCCTTCCCGCCCTTCTTGCCGGCCTTGCCACGTTTCTGTCCGCCAGAGACAGAAACAGCCGCCGTCTCCTCAGAGGAAGAAGACGTGGGGGTGGCAAGTGAGGCAGTGAAGGTGGGAAGCTGTGGTACCGCACACCCCTCAAAAAGACGAGGAGGAGGCGCGGAAGAGGCAGAGGCAACAGCGAGGAGGTTACTCTCGATCTTCGAGAGAGCGGTCTCAAGAAGATCGATGGTAAGCTCAGTGGGGTGCTTCAGAAGAAGCGCGTCGCGGGCTGTGGCTAGGCGGTCAGGGAGGCGAGTGACTTGCCAGTTAATAGTGAGCCACATAGGGGGCGGGGCAAGGGCAAGCTGGTCCTCAGTGCAAGCAGCGCGAAAGCGAGCGTCAAGAGAGCGCAGGTGGGTAGCGAGGTCAGAGACAGTCTCAAAGGAGGCGAGGTCAGGGTAGATAAAGGGTACGAGGAGGCGACTGAGCGAAGCAGAGGAGGGAGTGGAATAGCGAGCAACAATATGTTAGAATCTAGCAGCAGGAATGAATGAACTAGCAGGATGCAGGAGTACAAGTAGTAAACCCTAATTGGGTTGTACCCCATATGGGCTACCCCACTACAGCCTAGACAATATGCAGCACATATAGTTTGACACACCCCCATAGGCAAAGTGGGGGAGAACAAGGGGTCACACGACCAGTCAAGAGAAGCAAAACAAGCTCAGGGTGGATCACAACGTCACCACACATTCCGAGCACAAGCAAAGGGCCACAGGGCCAGTTCACATGCAGAGATATATATGTAGCAATAACAGTACAGTGATGGCTACCTAGCAAGAGCCAGCATGCATATATATATAGATCACAGTACAAGCAAAGACTACAACAAGTGTGGAAACGTAGGCACAAGGCCCAACAGAGTACAAAAGCGCTGATGATCACCAGACGGAAGTGCCTTGGTAAATATATCAGCAGTGTTGGCCCGAGTGGCCACGTGGCGAAGACGAAGCTGGCCTCGCTGCTGCAAATCTCGAGCCAGGAAGTAACGCAGAGCAATGTGCTTCGTTCTGTGCTCCAGTCTGTGCTCCTCACACAAGGCAATGGCGGCCTTGTTGTCGACGTACAGCACTGGAGGAGAACGAGGCTGCTCTCCCAAGTCAATCAGCAGGTAGGTGAGCCAGCGTAACTCCTGTGCAGCCATGGCTGTGGCGTAGATCTCAGCCTCACAACTGGAGCTGAGAACTGAAGACGAGCGTGTAGAACGCCACGAAACTGAACCAGAGCCAAGGCTGAAGGTGTAACCCTGTGACGACCGCTGAGTAGCCTGGTCGTCAACCCAAGAAGCGTCTGAGTGCCCAGTAAGGACAACTGGGCTCGTCCCTCCAAGCACTAGCCCCATGCCTGATGTGCTGCACAAGTAGCACAGTACCCTCTTAGCAGCAGCCATGTGCTCAGGTCGGTGCCGACCAAGAGCCACGTAGCGAGCCAGAAGACCAAGAGGGTACGCGAGGTCAGGTCGAGTGCAAGTCATCAAGTACATGAGGCAGCCGACTAGCTCTGGGTAAGGACCACTCGGCTCTACGGACTCGTCCGAAGGTGGAGCTGAGAGCGTGTGACCTGTAGCCAGAGGAGTGGCCTGTGCTGAAGACCAGGTGAAGCCGAAGCGCTGAAGGACCTGCTGCACCATGTGTGACTGAGTCAAGGTGATGGTGCGGCGTGCTCTGTCCCGGGTGATCTGCAGGCCAAGGTAGCTGCGCAGCTCACCCAAGTCTGTGCACGTGTGTCTCTTCTGCAGCTCCGACTTCACGTGGGCGAGAGCCTCAGTGTCAGCAGTGGCAAAAACCAAGTCGTCGACGTACACGAGGATGTAGAACGGCGGCAGTGAAGTGTCGGTGCGCAGAAACAGCGACGGGTCAGCAGTAGAAGGCGCGAACCCAAGAGCCGCAAGTGTAGTCCTCAGTGTGTCGTGCCACTCACGTGGCGCCTGGCGGAGACCGTAGACCGGCCGCCGGAGGCTCCACTGGGTACCAGGAGGGAACGACCCAGTGAAGCCCGGGGGGCGGCGCAGCCAGATCTCCTCGTGCAGGCTGCCCTGCAAGAAAGCTGTGCTGAAGTCAAGAGAGTGAAGCTCGTAGTCACGGTGAGCAGCAACGTGCAGCAGCACCCGAAGAGTGGTCATCTTCGAGGTGGGGGAGAAGGTCTGGAAGAAGTCAACTCCCTCTCGCTGACTAAAGCCTCGAGCAACGTAACGAGCCTTGAAGACAGGCGGAGAACCTGGCGGCCGCTTCACCCTGAAAATCCACATGCCACTGACGATGTTCGCCCCAGGAGGGGGAACCTCGTCGACGTAAGTGCCAGTGGACTTCCAGGATGCCATCTCTGCGTCCATGGCTGTCTGCCACTGAGAGGAGTACTCACCCGCGATCGCCTCAGCGTAAGAGCGCGGGGTCGGGATGTCTGGTGCATCCGGGTCTCCCTCAGGAGCAAGCAGCATGGCAACGAGATGAGGCGCAGCGGCTGCAAGACACTCAAGGTCCTCGTGCCTGTCCTCAAGGACGTCCGTGCTAAGAGCACACTCACCCCCGACGGACGAAGGACAGACAGACTCAGACTCAACAACAAGACTGGCAGTGAAGTCTAGACGACAGGCAGCAGCAAAGTCAACAAGCTCAGCGACAAGAGCAGACGCAGCAGCAGACTCAAACGACGGGTCAGTGACAACAGTGGCTAGTAGACGCGTGACAGTAGGGTGCTCAGCACGAAACCGGTCAGACGCAGGGTCCGGAACGTCAGGCAAAGAGGACGCAGGAGGAGACGGCAGAGGAACAGGCTGTGGAGCAGAGGAAGGACGACGGACTACGAGGTGTGCGCTGGGGACAGCCGGCTGACGCGAACGAGGAACACGACGACCGGTACGACTAGGACGAACAGGCGAAACAGGACGCGACGCAGGCTCACGACGCTCAGCAGGACTACCAGTCTGCACAGTGTAAGGAGAAGGAGCAGGCAGCGGTGAGCCAGGCTATAACGGAAGACCAGTAGACGACGGGAGAGTAAGAACCTGACGAAGAACAGAGTCAGACGGCGGCAGAGACGACGGAGACGGCGGAGCGAAGAACCGTCGTGTCGGCGCAGCTGCACCAGGACCGGCAGCTCCAGCAGCTCCAGTGCCTCCAGCAGCTCCAGTACCTCCAGCAGCTCCAGAAGCTCCAGTCCCAGAGCCGACACCTCCAGTCCCAGGGTCTCCAACCTCTGTGTCTCCAGCAGCAGCACCCCCAGAACCAGCACCTCCAGTCCCAGGGTCTCCAGCCTTAGTGTCTCCAGCAGCAGCACCCCCAGAACCAGCACCTCTAGTCCCAGGGTCTCCAGCCTCAGTGTCTCCAGTACGAGCACCTCCAGAACCAGCGACTCCAGCACCTCCAGTAGACAAAGGACCAGCACCACTCCTAGCTCCAGCAGTGCGACGCTGACGGCGACCGTACCAGTCCTGCAGCTGCTGTGGGGTGAGAGGCACACGTGGACGAAGGCGGCTACTCCAAGGAGACCGCGCAACAGCAGACTCAGAACCCTCAGCGCCCGCACCCCCAACGGCTCCAGAACCTCCGGTGTCAGTACCCTCAGCACCAGTACCTCCAGCGGCTCCAGAACCTCCAGCGCGAGCACCCTCAGCAGCTCCAGAACCTCCAGCTCCAGCGCCACCAGTATTAGGCACTCCAGCAGCTCCCGAACCTCCAGCGCCAGCACCCTCAGTAGCTCCAGAACCTCCAGCGTCAGTACCGCCAAGCTCAGCACCCCCAGA